CCTCATCCAAAGGATTACTGTTGATTTTCACACTGCTTTCCGCAATCTCATCACCCTCAGAACTAAGAGCCGACTTGATTAAGCCCTCCAACACTCCACTTCCAAGTTGCTTCAAACTGCTCACATTTTCGAGAACCGAGGTGAAAAATTCTGAACCGACTAAGTCCGCAAGTGATGCGGGTATGTCACCTTGGGAGGGATCAGAGGCCTTTTCATTCTTCGAATGCCCCGACGAGGAGGTAAGGAAGGGATTCTCACCACTCAAGGAAGCGAAATAGACCTTCGAGTTGGACGCCATGGCACGATAGCGTTCTAATTCAAGAAATTGTGGAGTTAATCGAAGGGAATCGGCTTCAGCCAAACGCGAGGCACGATAAAATTCTGCATCGGCTTCTGCGCGAGCTCTTGCGGCTCGAATACTCTCCTCTATCTCAGCGATTGCTTTCTCGTTCTCTTTGGCTGAAAGACGCATCGTGTACTCGATCTCTGCCACTTCTGCAGCTTTTTCAGCCTCTATAAATGAAATCGAAAATCAATTGCTACTGATGTGTATTTAAGTACAAATTAAAATTACAACAGGTATCAGATTGACAAAAAAATCATATGAAGTGGGCAATGATGCACTGTTTCTATGGCGACATTTGGTAAAGAACTGTGATGTGAGTACTGATACCAACGCCACATAGATAACAAAAGATAACGCTTTATTCCTAAGGGATTTCACAGCTTAAACCTTTTGGGGCAGCAGTCTAATTGAACCTCACCTTTAGAAAGAGTCGCAGTAAATATTGAATAATAGGAAAGACCTATAATCACTAGCATTTGTCATGATAGTAAAAGAAGGCGTATAATGATCGATAATTAGCCAGGAATTAATTATTATTAATTAGGCACAAAATGATTATAGTTACTCAAATGTATTAAATTGGAAAATCGTTACTTTGAAAACTTTTTGGGCAATACCACCAATCGTTAGGGCATTGAGGCGTTTTCAGAAGGGTACTGAAGGGATTTGCAGCTAATCTGGGAAGCTTAATTAGGCTCAAGCAAAATCAAATTTACCAAGCTACGGAGATCAGGTTGTTGAACAGGTGCACCCCTTTGAAGAACCAAAAGGTGTTATTTGGTCAAAAATATCGATTTTACCGAGTACAAATAAAGTAAAACACATTAGATGATATTTACAATACATTTTATCACATAAAGACAGCATCCTACATAAAGTGACAGGGTGTTACAATAACAGAACACACAAGAATACGCACAGTGCAAATTTAAAAAAATACGCATATTTAATTCAGCCTGTAATAAAGACAATGGGCGAATCGCAAGCAATCAAACAATGACCCCAAAAGTCGATCACATTGATTTCTGACAAGCCAGGCTAGACATTCAAGAAGTAGAAATGCAGATATGATAAAAACTTAAATCAGACTAAATAAATTATTTATTTATTTCAAATGGCAGGCATTTCGGTAGTTATCATTAGCTCTTTAGTTGACTTCGGGCTTCACAGAGGGGAGGTGGAACATCAAAGTGGGAAAAATGCGACAGGGGGAAAGAAGAGCGATTCACAGATGTAAACGAGGCAGACAGACACAAAGGCAGGGAAAACCTAAGGTAAGGTAAGGTGAGTACTAAGGAAGAGATCGAATATGTCATGCGGTCGGGTCATGGTGGTTTGAAATAAACTGCCGGCTTATTGACCTTTTGTCGCATTAGAATACGCTGCCCAGGGTGCACTACTTGGAGGTAAGTCTATCGCACTCCCCCTAAGTGAAATACTTCAGGTGGCATTTTGAATCCTTGCTTCAAGTTGTATTCATTTTGAATTTGTCCTTGAGTGCACATTTGTAGAATTTTGGCCTCTTATAAAGTGTAAAATGATGGCCACTTTTTTTCAAATATGAAGTAAATAAAGCTTCCTAAAAACCAGAAGTAAGAAACCTTTTGGAGGTTTTGTAATTGAACGGACTCCACAGATTAAATTAGATGAATGATTTCACTTTACTTGCTAGGGTTCATTATTATACCTCTTCAATCCTTTCATTTCGTCTAAAACTCTTTTTTGATAATTATAATTTCAACGGCACGGAATTCACTGGCAAATAGCAAAGTAAAGGAGCACATATAAAAATTTTCAAACAGATGAAGTGGAAATCTGAGCTGTGAGTTTTATTATGTAAGGATGACGTAGTCTACTTGATATAAACCCTAATCAGACCGATTTTACTACCTATTTGTTATTTGTAGAAACAAGACCGACTCTCATAAATAAATCAGCTGGAGATTGGGGTCGGTAATCTGATAGGTAATTCAGGAGACGAGTTGCGAGATCCAGAATGTTAGAAAATGAAATTGTGAAATACCTTTAAATCGTAAATATTGCTCAAAAGTCTCTTATGCATTCTTTAAGATACCATTTTGTCCTTTCGATCATTCAAATTTTCAAATAATTTCTTTACTGCATCATTTATAATCAAATTATGGAGGTACTGTATGAGCAAAAACAAGCATTTTTTATTATTATTGATCATCAAGAATATTTTAGAGCTGAATATCTATTAAAGAGGCTTTCGGCTCAAAATTATATTGATTGGAATAAGAAGGGAACCGAAACCTGTTTCCATGATAAAGACACTTTTATGATAAGAAAGCTTTAATATCTTTCAAGAGTGACAGACAATTAAAGAACTCATATTAGTAATTGAATTTCTAAAGCAAATTGGAAGGGTCTAATTGAAAGAAGGTTATACATGTTTTAGTTAAATACTGTAATAAGCTTTCAGGGAAAGTATTGAATTCCACTAATTTAGTCAAAACGATGGAATTATGAAAAGCATAATTTTTTTTAAATGTTTTAATAATATCTTCTTAAATATTATTGAAATGATTGAATGGAACATGACGTTTTAATCTTCAACTTAATTGACTTTGTTTTACATTCTATGGATTTTTTTAGAAACTAAACAACTTTTCAAAAATTAGAAAGAAATGTAATTCATTTGTCCTAATCTATTTCGTCAAATATGAAGATTCTTTTTAAGCTTCAGTAATTAATTTAATCTTATTTGGAGTATGATTTTGTTAATCTTAAAAGCCGTATTAAGAACCGGGACAATGAAAAAAGATCCTAGATTACTTCGGTTATCTCTATCTTTGGAAAGTAGTTGAAAGTCATGATCTACAGTTTAGGTATATTACTTGAATCCAAAGATCTAAACGTCATAAAATGCAGAATTCAAATGTTCAAACACAGGTCACTCGGCTTTGTTCATAAATGATTCGAAATGTTACTTTCCTTTATCATTGAGTTTAATCAATTTATTTCATTAAGAGAACGTATAATAATCTAAAAGGCAATAGTTTATAAGTTTTTCAATCTCATATATTCTAAGTAGATAGGACAAAAATGTAATTTCCAAGACTGATCAATTTGATAGAATATCACATTGAAATATTTATTTATTTCAAATG